GGTCATTTAAGGATTTGTCAAATTATTTAAATTTCTTTCTTATTCTATGGCAGATCTTTTAAACTGGCTACTGTACAGATTAGTTTAATAAGATGGAACCTGTGGGGGCTCTTATCACTCAATGACCCATTTGAGTTTATCAGGCTTGCTACACAGGTGGTACGTTTTGCCATTCGTGGCAAAATGCTGGTAGTGAAAGGTTTGCGGTGATATGGTAAAATGCATCAGATCTGCACAGAGTCATGCAGGAGCTGTTATGTGGAGAAATAGTTATCACATGCAAATCTTAGCTATTTGTGTTGAAAAATGTTCATAACTTTTAGAAACATAAGCCACTGTACCTCTGCTAACTAAAGAAACCCCTAAATTACCAAAATAGAAAATTGCAGTTTTTGTACCTTTGGAATTGGCCATTCATAAGACAGCTTAATGCAAATTTGTTACTTTAATGCACTTTAATCAAGATTATTAAAGAGTGGTACAATGGTAGACCCTCCCCTCCAACAGTGTTTAAGAGGCTGAATGGCAATTCTTATCTACTTCAGTTATTCTGACTGCATTCCAGTTTAGTAATTTTTGATACCTTTTATTCATCGATTAAAAATATGTAGTAGTACAGGATTATGAGGCTCCATGCACGTCTTCTGGTTCCATTCTGGATTATTTCAGTCCGCTGAGTCTTGAGGAAGTTGACAGATTGCTCTCAACAGTACGCCCAACCACGTGCAGCCTTGATCCGTGCCCTTCATGGCTTATAAAAGCTGGCCGTGAGGGGCTACGAGGTGCCCTTAGGGATATTATTAACAAGTCCTTTGTTGAGGGACTGTTCCCAGGGGCACTCAAGGATGCAATGGTCTGCCCTCTCTTGAAAAAACCATCTCTGGACCCGGCCGAATTGGCCAACTATCAGCCGGTTTCCAACTTGCCCTATTTGGGCAAAGTACTTGAGAGAGCGGTGGCGATTCAGTTGCAGAGCTTTATGGATGAAACGTCCATGCTAGACCTGTTCCAGTCCGGCTTCCGACCGGATCATGTGACGGAGACAGCTCTGGTCACACTCACGGATGACCTCCAGAGGCATCTGGATCAAGGCGGTACAGTGGTGCTGTTGTTATTAGATCTGTCGGCGGTGTTTGATACCGTCGACCATCAGCTACTGATCCACCACCTCGCTAACACTGGGATTCAGGGGCTTGCCTTGCAATGACTTGTCTCCTTTCTCCAAGGTCGGGGACAGAGAGTGGCGTTAGGGAGCAGACATCCCAGAGGTACCCACTGATCTGCGGGGTTCCTCAGAAGGCGGTACTGTCCCCAATGTTATTTAACATCTACATGCGCACCCTCGCCCAGATTGCCCGGAGGTATAGGCTAGGGTGCCATCAATATGCAGATGACACCCAGATAACAACAATATCTGTTGTTGAGCAGCCAGTTCGACTCTACCCCAGATGACCTGGAGCAGGCGCTTTGTGACGTGGTGGGCTGGCTTAGGCTGAGCTGACTGAAATTGAATCCAATGAAGACGGAGGTCCTGTGCCTGAGTCGGAGCGGATTGGGGGTAGGGATCCCACTCCCGACCTTCGGTGGGGTGCCATTGGTGCCAGCACCGAGAGTTAGGAGTCTGGGAGTGCTCCTGACAATGGAGGCCCAGGTAGCAGCCACTGCCAAGGCAGCCTTTTACCATCTGCGGCTGATTAGGCAGTTGGTTCCCTTCCTCGAATGCAATGACCTGGCAAGAGTGATCCATGCTATGGTTACCTCGAGGTTAGACTACTGCAACGCTCTCTACATGGGGCTGCCCTTGTCCCAGCTCCGGAAGCTGCAGCTAGTGCAAATTGCGGTGGCCAGGCTGTTGATGGGTCTCACTATACGAGACCACATCCAGCCTGTCCTGAAGGCACTGCACTGGCTGCCAATAGCTTACCGGATCTGATCCAAGGTGCTGGTTTTGACCTTTAAATCCCTATATGGCCAGGGGCCTGCCTATCTGAGGGACCGCTTTTCCCCATATGTTCCCCATAGAGCACTGAGGTCAGGAACACAGAATTGCCTGTCTTTTCCCGGGCCAACAGACATCAAGCTGGCTGCTACTAGAGCCAGGGCCTTCTCGGTGGCGGCTCCACGCTGGTGGAATGAGCTCCCGGATAACTTCAGGGCCCTGCAGGACCTTTTACAGTTCCGCAGGGCCTGCAAAACGGAGCTCTTCCATCACGCTTTCGATTAGGAGCTGCCGGTGAGAGGGCCACTGGAGACAGTGCCACAGACATCGGTGCCTCCGGAACACATTTATTTATTTATTTCAATTTATATACCTCTTACCCCCTGAGGGCTCTGAGCAGTTTACATGTTCCAATTAATGCCAATCCTAACCTAGGGCCACATACATACAAGGGGGAAAGTGACTAGCCTACCAGGCACCCAGTAGCGCGTCGTTGTTATCTGCAGGAGCTCGAGTCGACAATGTCCTCCTGGCGCTGGTCTTTGATTTTTACGACTTCCTGGCTGTTGCGACTCCTTCGGGCTTGGACCGACGCACGTCCGCGCATGCTCGCTGCGGCCTCTGTCCAGTAGGCCTCGGCCTGCTGCGTCGCCTCGCCTCCGTGATTTGCCGGCCCAGCCTCCTCTCACTCGCATTGCCTCGCCAGCCGCCACCATGTCTTCTCCGCCGCCGCCATCGCTCACCATCGCTTCGCCGCTTACGCCGCTACACCGCAGGGGAAGGGTACCTCCCCGCTCTAAGAGCAGGTACCCATTTGTCTAGTTGCCCTATAACGGGCTTTCGAGCTGCTGGGTGGGCGAGGGCTGGGACATAGGGCCACAGTGGGGTTCGAACAGCCGGAACTCTTCGGCCAGATGTAATGCAGGCTTCACGTACCGCCTGCGCCACTGGTCCCTTGGACCACTCAAAACAGCAGTTGGTTACTGCCTTTGTTTGTATAGTGTATGCTGCCAGCTTTATTGCCATCATTACTAGTACTATCTAGTTGTTTATGTAGTCGTAATTTACTAATGTATTTTAATGTATTTATTGTTGTAGTGTTTTAAATGTTGTTAGCCACCTTGAACCAGTCCTGTGGCTAGGCGGGATACAAATTGAAATAATAAATAAATAAATCTCCTAAACATTCATTGAAAGAGTGGGAGGAATCCACCCTTTTAACTCTGTATGATCACAAGGCAAATAACACTGCTAAATAAAGCTATTAGTTAAGAGTATTTAATCCGGGCCTCATAATCTATAATGTGACTATAGCTGACCAACTGGGTAATTTCCAACACTGTGCAACAGTAAGTTTAATTAATAGTGGCATCCACCCAGAATCAAACCATGATGACACTAGTGATCTTGCAAATATCAACAAGCACTTTAAATAACCTAGAATAATGTAGTCTGGTTTAATGAACATCATCTTTAGCACGCACAGGTGGTGATGGTGGAATGGACCTCTTCTGTTATCCTTGTTAGGAATCCAGAGAGTCTCAGAGTGGCTTACAAACTCCTTTCCCTTCCCCTCCCCACAACAGACACCCTGTGAGGTAAGTGGGGCTGAGAGATCTCTTTCAAGAACTGCTCTTTCAAGAACAGCTCTGACAGAACTATGGCTTGCCCAAGATCATCCAGCAGCTGCAAATGGAGGAGTGGGGAATCAAACCCAGTTCTCCCAGATTAGGGTCCGTACATTTAACTACTACACCAAACTGGCTAATAATTTAATTTAAGTACCAAGTTTAACTTTAAACTTTTACAGGTAAATAAACAAAACGTTTTGCTGAAAAGTGCTCCAAACTATTGGAAGAGAACAACGTCATCTTTTGTTTTATTGCAATTATGATGGTCAAATAAATTGGTGTTTTCCTAGTAGCATTTCTCCAGAAACCTACGGCTTTCATATATATCTGATTTCAGACCTCTCTCCCTTTAAAAAATATGCTTCTCACTAGATTAAGAGCTTCAAAGAGTATTTTTTTTCAAAACTTGCATATCTGTACAAACGTCTTATATCTAACTTGAATGAGACGTATCATTGAAATGTTGCCACTGTTGTTCTTTAAAGAATGCTGTAATCTGTGTGTGGGAGCCAAGTAGCTGATTTTTATCACAAAGCTGCAATCTTTGTTATGTACCACATCTCATAGGGGTGCCCGCATGATGTGCCGCACAAATCATGGGCTAACCGTCTGTGTTACAGGGATCGGCTCAGCGGCTAGAAGCCTGCTGGTCAGCCTGTCTTGCCAGTACCCGTAGGTGTCATCAGGTGAACAGGCAATTACTGAGAAACAAGCCAGGCTATGGAAAAGCAACTCAAAGAAAAAGACTCACACGGAAATAAACTATCACAGCTTCATTAGCATATTGGATCCCTCTAGCATTTTATAAAAAAAAATGCAAACAATCACAAGTTTGTCCATTTATTTTTTAAAAAAGATGTGTTACTAATGTTCAAATGTGTAGAAAGTTTTCTTGAAATTTTCACCAGACTCTTGAAATACGCAACAGCTGTAATCTTATGGATAAACAGAACAAAGTTTGAGTCACACACAAAAGGTTATACGCAGAATTAAACTTTGTTGGACTTAAAGGTACCATTGGACTCAAACTTTGTTCTGTTGCTTCAGACCAACATGGCTACCCCACCTGAATCAACCTTACGGATAAATGTACATCTGTTGATCCACTGAATGGACATGGAATGGTATGCAGGTTTTCAGCCAAATCTCCAAATCAGCTGGAGAACACACATACTGCAACCATAGTTTATACTTCACTTTCACAAACAATAAAAAAGTAACACACTTGGGTGTGACTTGTTCAAAGGACTTTAAAGGCCCAATTTTGCACTTGGAATCTTCTGCCTGCCGTTTTACAGGCAAAAATAAATGTGAAACATTTTATAGTGGTTGGACTTTTCTGCTACTTCTAGGTAGCTTAAGCAGGTGAGAGAGTTATAAAGCACATCTATGATTGAGGAGATTATTCAAACATTATTCAAAAGCCATACCAGTAAAACCCATTAAGGCGCCCTCTCTTGACTGCTTCCGGAGCCCCTCTTCATCTTGAAAGTCAATATATACAAGGTCTATGGCCTGCAAGCCAAATGCTTTTGCTGTGACAATAATTTTCTGCCTGGCATAAAGAATATCGAGGGTGTCTCTACTGCTTGTTGAACCTGAAGAGAAAACATAAGAAGTTAATGGTACAAGTCCGACTTTGCTTTAAAAATAATTGCCGTGTAAATGTATCTGCCATTAGTTTTGTTCCCCCAAAATGAAAAAGTTTTCTCTCTCTCAAATTTCTTCACTGCAACAGCTATAAAAAGGCTTTGTTGCTGTAAACAAGGTATCAAAACTGCTTTTACAAAAAAGTCCTCTTTTTTTCATTTGAGTTTTTAAATGTAGGGTGGGACTTTCAAAAAAATCTATGATTTGAGCACATAAGGATGAGGGATCTTTTCTTCAGTACAAAATTCGGAGTGGATCTATTTTTAGTAACCATTTGCTGTTGTCTATTATTATTACAATAGGGAAAAACACTCACTAAAAAGTAATGTTATTTCTATACTTAAATCTTCAGAGACACTCAAATTTAATCCAGGATAGTCCCATTTACTTCTGTAGAACAAATATAGCTTTAGCTAAAAATTATTGCTTTCTGTTGTAACCTAACAATTTGATTTTGTACACATTACTCAGAAGTACATCCATTGTTTTCAGACATTGTTTTCAAATCCAGAACTGAGTCCTTGGTCATAACATTTGAGAAATGTGATAGATAATTTTTTAGTTTTCAAAAAAGCATTTGTAAAATCTGCTGAGTCTAAAGAATAACCAGTACTCCCTAACTCCTCTCTTCTCAAATGCACATTACCAGTTTTGATTTGATTTGTCATCTTATAAAGAACAAATTAAGATGTTGTTACTTTTATTTTTAATTTTTCCCCCATTTGGGATTCTTTGGTTCTGAACTGCACTCAAAAAGCTATGGAGATTAATCAGATCAAGAGGAAGGTATTTAGTCACAGGTAAATAATAGAGAGAGATGATTTTGGTCTCCTTTTCAGTTCTGAAGAAATGGTACCAGCAGCTACAGGAAGGAAGGCAAAGAGAAGTACCAGTGTTCCTAGGGGAAATATTACCATGTGTGCAGTAAAATCACACTGAAATTGTAAGTAATTTAAAAATATTAACACTGGTCTTCCCCATACACTAAAACATTCACCTCAACATGTTTGAAGAATGTTTCTGAAAAAAATAATTATATAGACGTGATCATTCAAATTATTCAGCCGATATCAACAATTATGTTTCATTGTTAGCTAGAGACCAATTAGCAGACTGAGCGTTTTTGTAAATTATAACTGCAACCGATATTAGATTTCAAGACAGCAATAATCTTCATTACACATGAGCAAGAATTATGGGAAGCAGCACAAAGAAGCTTCAGGCTTGTTAATGTGATCAAGAGCGGTGAATATACTAGTTGTTGGTTCCATTTCTTTTTTTAAAAAGAAGGCCACAGTCCAGCACAGATTTAGCTGTACATAATTCAATGGGCTTCAAATGGGTTTAAGCATGACTAAGTCTGTCGGGCTGTTAGCAGTAATGGCTCTCACATTTTCTCAAACCCTCCCCACAAAATGACACACCTATGCTGGCACGAAAATCCTCTCCTCCGAAGACTACTGCATCCAAATGAAGGCTGACCTGGGGTCCCGCTCGCAGTGTTTCTTCACAAACCGCCTTGAAACACAACACAAGCATGAATGCAAACACAGATTGGGCTAAATTTATATTTATTGCCAGAAAGATGCTAGATCTTCCATCTAAAATTATATCTCCCTTGGACAGGGGTGGGATGGGATTATCAGGACTCCCTTTCAGTGCTGTTTAAAAAACTACACACCCACTAAAAATGATACAACCACCAAAGACAATGTTTTGGATTCAAATATACCTACTATGGTTAAAGCACAGAATTCCCCCCCCCCTTTCATGAATAAGCTTTCTAACATGCCAAGCAGTCTGGAACGATTGTAGCGGTAGAGTACTGTTTTGTTTTAAAGTGGTAATACTTTCAACTTCTGGATACTTTTAAAGCTCAGGAATACATAATACTGCTGCAACTTATGTAGTATCTGAAGAATGAATTTTTAATGTGGTGTTTTCAAAATGTATAGAGCATTATCTTCAACTAAAACTCAAAGAGCTACTGTAAAATGCAACAAGTAGCACAGAATACTATTGAAAAAGCAAATGATGCCTTGGAGTGTCATCCCAATATTACAGCAAATGTTGTCTAATCACAGTGTGTGTGGGTGTGTGTCTGTGTATTTTAAGTCTGACTCTGGTGGCTAACTGAAATATGACATATGTGGCTGGGAAATTAGTTCCACACAGTATAAACTGCAACACGTCTGCTAAATCTCAAAGCTGCAGTTCATCTGATTTGCTTTTGTTTAATATTGTTATGGAAACTGTAAATCTCCCTATGTAGTAGGGCTGCATTGTGATTCATTATGGGTTACCTGGAATATGGAATATTAGTTGAGATTTTATATTCATAACTTATGAGTCTTCCTTTGCAGTCTGAGGGGAGAAGTTCAGTAAAGAAAGAGAAGATCATACTAAGACACAGACTCCTACTAAGCAGGAACATATATCATTACCAATCCAGCACATTTCAGCTGAAAAAAATTTGGAGGCATTTTGGAAAAGAACAGGTTATTAACATGGTAGCCACAAGTGGCTCCCAGCAGTTCCACCTAATAACACAAAACTTTCCCAGGAAACCTTGGCATAGCCTAGGCCTGCACTCTCGTTTCAATTTCATCATTGTTTATATCTTTCCTCCACAGAAACATACAGGCGGGATGCCAAAAGTAGGCGGCTATTTCCATGCATCTGATCAACATCAAGCCACATTGTAAGGATGGATGGGGTGGGGGGCTGAAATAACATTTTTACAGGGCAGATGGAAGAGAGTTCCAACATTTTAATGCCATTTCCCCCCTATACTGGGTAATAGGAAATCTCAAGTCTGGTGTTTTTAAAAAAACTGTTGCCATCATGGAACATAATTTTTTTTTAATTGTAACATTTTGTGAAATGCAAAAGTGATTTCTCAAGATGTGAGACTACACACACAAGCATGTACATCCACACACACCCCGGTTATTATTTATTCATTATCAGGTTAGCTGCTAAGATATTAAACACCATTATATCTATTTGGAGCTCAAGGGATATAGGTTTTTTATTGGAAATCCCCAAAGAACTGATATTAGTAGAGAATTGTTATGTAGGATTGTCTGTGGTAGGGGAAACTGATATTTCAATTAATTTTACGGATAACGAATGCCTTTATATAAACTAAGAAATAAACCTAACACATTTTTTAGAATATGTTTTTTAGAATGCCCCCCCCCCAGTTACTTGCCTATCAATGAAAAATTGACAACTTTATGCAGAAGTATTAGCTAAACTACATTGATGCTTACCTTAAAATTGAGCAGCCCCATCGCTGTTTCCACAAAAGGGATGAAATGCATTGGTTCTACAAGTGTTCGGCCTTTTGTGTGGTCTGCAAATTTCTCTGTAAACTAAAAACAGAGCAAATGGAGGAGAGGAGGGGAAATATTATCAGGATTTGTCCTCCTGCAAATATCTATAAAACAGTATGTCTTTCTAAACTTTGCACTGGTGTGAAATGCAACCAAACAGAATAAACAAAGCCAGAGTGCTAATGAGAAAACAAAACAAAACAAAACCCACCAAGCTCTGGAAGAGGTCTGTTCGTATAGGCCTATCATTTAGAATGCCAGCATTACTGTATATTTTGAAGTGGAAAGGTTTAGTTGCAAAAATATTTGTCTAACACCTATCACCCTGACTTAGTTAAATGCAAATCAGCAGGCTCTTGAAAAACAAAGCAGTATTGATATACCTGACATTCTGTTTTGTTTCATGTCTGACACTGACATGGCTGTGAATGTTCCTCCAAAGTGGCACCCACATTATTCATTACGGCACTGTTACCCTTTGTTCTGGGGGTCCTTTCTTCATAATTTTTAGCTTACCTAGGAAGGGTCTTAAAAAGGAAGTTTAATTCTTTGAAGACCAAAGCTCTCCAATTTTTTCCATGAGACCAGTTCACAGCTAGCTCTGAGCCGCCGGTGGGGTAGCCCAAATTCCAAAATCTATCATCTGGAAATATACAAAAGCCCTTGCATAGATTCCCCCCCCCACTCTCTTTCAAAAAGGGAAAGGGAGGGGGGGCGAAGGAAACTACCTCTGTATATTGTAAATCTATTATGTCTTTCTAGATCTAGTAATATGTTGGGAGATAAACATTTCACAGACATGTTAAAGAAATTTTAGTCAATAAAGAAAGGGGGGGAAAACCCATACACCAATTTTACATTTAAGGAATATTTAACCATTAATGGGTATCAAAGGAAAAGAGAATTTTAATCATCTCTCCATTCAGTCTCAGTTGGGTAAATCATATCTAAGAGATTTGCATAAATATAAACCATCAAAGACTTTTCATCTTCAAAGGGGGTTTCAAGACCCTATAAGCTTTGTACTGTAATCATCACAGGTCACAACCCTGCAGGAATAAGGCTGCTATGGCAACATAAAAAACTAATGCTTAAGGCTTAGCATAATATTCTGACTAATAGAAAGGAAACTCATTTTAGAAGCTGGCAGCCTATTTTCCAGAAGCTGGATTAGAGGTGTTATTTCCCCTTTTAGCCCCCCCCCCACTCCACCCCTCCCCAAAAGAAAGGGAAATCTAATCACTGAAATCTTTAAAAAGCTTCCAACCAATTTGCAGTAACTTTACATTAGGCCAAAATAAATCACGCCTTTCTGCAAGGAAAGAAAATGTACACCCTCCTTTTTTTTAAATGTGTATCGTCACCGTCGTCGGCACACAGCCTGTCAAATCATACGATAGCCACAGAGTACGAGGAATTAAAAAGAGAAATCTGCAGTTTGATTTCACGAAGAATGCCATGCAAAGCAACTGAGGAGTGACACTTCAGTTAGTTCTGATTAATTAAAAAAACCCCACAAAACTGCAATAATAAAACAATTTCAGCACGCCATTCCGCTCTAGCTCATTTTAACAAGCTAGCTGGTATAAACGGGCTATGACCTGAAATGAAATTTTAAATGGCGACCCCTTTGTGTGCTAAGCCCTTTAAGAAAACCAAAAAGCCCCCACCATCAATCTATTTTATTTATCTCAATCTTTATTTTACTGCATCTCATTGGGAAGGTAAGATGGGAAGCTTTTCATCAATATCACCCCCCCCATCTTCTTTATTTGATTTTTTTAAAAAAAATAAAAATGGTTATTAGCACCAAATACAAAAGGCAACTAGTGGAGAAGTTTCAATTAATTTTTTTCAAAAGGAGACGATTAAATGTTTCCGGCTTGGTAAAGTGTTCATTTCAGTGAGAGGGGATGGAAAAAAGGAGGAGGGGGCAAAAAACAAAGATTGGGGAGGGGATGAAGTAGCAGGCCTTAGCAATTCTTTCAATTCCAGTGCACACCCGATAGTGTGTTGGGAAGAATGCCCACTGTTCAGGATTTGTGGGAGAATTGTCCCATGACAAAGAAGGGAGAGTTATGCTTGTTATAGTCCAATAAGCCATGCCAGTCAAACAAGTACCCATACTAGGGACAAAAGGAAAGCAGGAGATTCTCACACAAAAGAAAACAAGTAAGCCCATCTTTTAGTTGGGCCTCAGTCTCCAGGTTTTATGCTTCACATAAATAAAAATGAAGGGTGGAAAAATAAATAGCCCCAAAAAAAAAAGCCTGCCACTATGCTAGCCAGCTTTAAAACAAAAGCAGATAGCATAACTGAACGTGCATCCTCGGGTTGGAAAGGTTTGAGAGAAATAAATGCAGTGAGGTGATATAAGACAAAGTTAACTTATTTTCAAAAGAAAAAAGTGTTAAAAATCAAAATGAGAGAGGAGAAGACTGGGGCATCCTTCTCATGTCCAAATAATGGTGTTTGTGTGTGTGGGGGGGGAAGCTTGAAGATCTGATGTCAAGGTAAACCATCTTTGTTAAAACCAAATAATTGACTGGAACAGAACATAAATATTCAGAACCATCAAATTCCAGAAGAATAACTTTTAGCCTGCAGTAGCAAAAACAGCAAAGAGTCTAGTGAATCTTGCCTTCCACAAGCCGGTAGCACAATAAATTTGTTAGCTTTTAAGATGTCACAGGACTCTTTGTTGCTTTCCTGTATAACCAGCAAGCTTTCAGCTTCAATTAAATTAATTGTTAGCACAAAAAAAAAAGTATTATCCTTTCAAGGATAGACAAACTAAGGGCCAACTATGTAGAAAAGTAGCGGTTTAGTTTTTAAATTCAGTAATATCTCTGTACAAAGGTTGGTTGGCGTTAAATGTGACCATGGGTTAGACGTTACCAGATTTATTTTTCTTCATGGACCTTATACAGAGAGACTCTTTGGGCTCTCAGGCTTCTTCAAATGATGAAACATCAGAATGAATTTTTACTACTTTAGAGGTATTTCCCAGAAATACTGGTATCACGAAATAAAACATGTCCCTTCTTAACAATTAAAACAAAAATAGCATAATTAGGCCTATTTCAAAGTTTTCTTAAGTAATCTGACATGCCAACCATTTACATTTCAGGTTTTTATTGGCTGAAAAGTCAGTCATGAAACACAAACACACCTGTCAGCAATTAAAAAGGAAGAAACAGAGAACTGGACAGGAAATAATATCTGCGCTAATTAAAAACACTAGTTAAAAGCTTCCTGTTTGTTCTTCTAGTTGCCCTAAGGAGTGACCTTTACTTCTCTTCCTCACCATAATTTTTCATATGTTGCTAAAATGTTTTTCTCCTTCTATCCACACTTTCCAAAAACTTCTATGTACGCCAAGCATTTAACTGAGAGTCAGTTGACTTTTACTATAATGGAAATGGAGGTCAAATCTTAACCATGTTTAGTTTGAATGAGTGAGGTCACAGCTTATTAAAACAGTATATAACAGAGTAATTTTTGTAAAATTAAAAATACGTGGCATGCATTCTGCATGCAGTTCCAATCCATAACTCTTCTCACAGAAGTATTGCTCTTTGAAATATAGTTTTGTAGCCAATTGCAAATATGCCTCACTAGTCCCCAAGACTCATTCAAAATTAGACAAAGGCCTTCTACTAAAGCTGTGGTAAGGAAAATTCCTTTATGCGCTCACCCATCTTATTTCTTCTACATTTTCAACTTTAGGTAGCATCAGACTGGTAGGAAGAATGCTGGACCCAAAAATGATCTTCATGTCTTCTTCAGCAAGACCACTGGACACTGAATTGATCCTTACACACTTTTCCATCTGGCCAAACTCAAGTCTTTCAAGTGTTTTTACAGTAGTTGTTCGTGCTTCTGCCTAAATTAAAAAAGGGAGATAAATCTAACTCTGCATTTAAATACAAACTTAATCAACCAACCAGATAGATATTTGTGACTACCTTTAAAAACAAAGCTGCAACACTGTGTCTTAATTTTTTAAAAATATAAGCTTTATACTCTTTTAATTTTAATAAGCTTTATTTCTTCAACATTCATTTTCAAAAGATATAATGAGATACAAATAGTGCAACAGTTTTGAAGAGAATATGTTCACATTTACATGATTACAAAGAGTCTAGTATACATGCCAAAAATGGAGTTGTTTTCAAAATGAAAATTTGAAAGATTTTCAAAAATAACAGAATGTTTAATCCAATATATTTTCACATAAGCAGCCATATCACTGTTGGTATTTACTTGTCTATTATGAGGTAACAATGTTCATGTATGGACTGAAGAGCATGTGTCTTCTTTGGGATTCTGTTAACCTTTCCATTAAAGTACAAATAAAGAGCGGGAAAACTCATGGGGACAAAGAATACCCAGTAATCCAAAATAATTCAGAATTTACATACATCCTATTTCCTGAGGCAACTTAAAAAATAACACACACCTTCTCAGGTAGACACATTTTCTATGAAAACATTGAAGTAAAGTGAATATCTATGAATATTTTGTTTTCTTTATAAGGAAGTACTTTGCTGAAAATGAAACACTTTTATTGGGCTGAAATAAAATAGAAACACAGACAGAATATAAACAAGCACTTGGGAGTCTCTGCTTCCTGCCAATTTCAGTTTCAAAACAAAAATTCCTTCGACTTGGCAACAGCCCTTAACAAATTCTCATTGTCAAAATGAACACTTATCAAAAGCAATTTCATTTGTGAAGAGTTTTTATAGTAGTAGTAAAACTTTAAAGCTTCTGACTGATGAATGTTTTAAGGGAGAGAGATCGGGAGGGTAGCGGCTTTAACAATATGTAGGTATTTGACTCAAAAAACACATTAAAGGAACAGGCATACTATGGGAGGAGGGAAAAAAATCACCAAAGACAGCATCTAGAACAAAACGAAATCAGTGAGACAATGCAAAACATTAGATTCAAACCAGATGGATAAAATACATGTGTGTAAAGGCAGAAAAGGTTACAAAATGTGGTCTGAGTTAAACAGTGTGAGGAAACAGTAGCTTACAGTTGTCAGAACTGATCAGGGGAAGGTCTCCAAAACCAGTTTCATATGATATACTGATTTACGAGACCAATAATTAGGATAAGTTTAGCCAGAAGAAAGCAATGGCCCCTCCTCAGCAACTGTGAAAGAGACAGAAAGTTAATGACACTCGAAACAATCACCACCTGTGTATTCCCAAATGCAGGCTTTAATATGTATCTATCTGATGGATAGAGAAAGGTAAAAGGTCTCACATGCAGACATAGCGATGTTGTATATTATGGCATACTGGGGCTGTATGAGGGAGACCTTCATTTGAAACCTTCAACTTTAGATTCCTTTAAACAAACACCTTGTGATGTGGCACATAAGTAACCCCCTTCTAGGCTCTCAAAATTGTATTGTGAAATCACAGTTGCACAGAAGGGGGCATCTTATTTGGCAGAAGAACATCCATGCACATTTTTGCTGAGGCAAGATATCCACCAAACTAGTGCAGAACACAACAGAGTCAAATATACACTATTCTGCTCGGCAATAACGAAAACAAACAAAAAAAAGTCCCGTTGTATTGCTCACTAAGGAAGCACTGAGCCCCAAAATGACACTACAATGCAGAGCTCTAAAATACCAGCATTTACACATGCACCTGTCCAGTCGATCTTCAAGCAGTCTCCCAATATCTCCTTTGCCCACAAGGGCAACAGATGCTTTTCTAGGTACTGCTCCATATAAAACAGTCAAGCCTAGTTCAGGTAGAATTGGTAAATTCATGCCTCATCCTCTTTATGAAAATATTCCCTGCACATAAGAAAATTAACATGTCAAAGGTGTCATCCAATTAAAGGAATCCTGAACAGTTACACCCTTTGAAGAATCCAATGGACTTAATGGCGTAATTCTGCGTAGGATGGCACTGTTAGTCACATAATGGATTGTCATTTTCTCTTATTAATTAATTGACTATATCTGCATTAATTTGCATATGAGTTAAACCAATAGTTCTGAAGAGCATTTTGCCTACTTGGATTTTAGATTATGCAGGCATGTCACAGCAGAAACCATCACAGAAGAGGCATTCCTCTTCCTCTGCCACACAGGAGAGAATGCATCTTCTAAGATGGCGCCTGCCTTCTCCAGTTTTTTAAATGTCCTGGCATTCAAAATAATTTTTTTTAAAGTTGTCCTGTTGAGAGCCAGTTTGGTGTAGTGGTTAAGTGTGCGGACTCTAATCTGGGAGAACTGGGTTTGATTCCCCACTCTTCCACACACAGCTGCTGGATCACCTTGGGCAAGCCATAGTTCTGTCAGAGCTGTTCTTGAAAGAGCAGTTTCTCTCAGAGCTCTCTCAGCCCCACCTACCTCACAGGGTGTCTCTTGTGGGGAGGGGAAGGGAAAGGAAATTGTAAGCCGCTCTGAGACTCCGAGTGAAGGGCGGGGTATAAATCCAATCTCCTCCTCCTCCTCTTCTTAATCGGAGCAACCTTTTAGTTGATCAAAAGCATTCAATTAATTAATCTAACCTAGTAACTGATCAAACATTACATCCCTGATAAAATTTGATGTGGCCAAAATAATTTTTATAGGAATATTAAATCAAGGGAGCCCCAAACGAGTCTAATGTGGTTCAATCTAAGAAGAGGTTTTCTGCCTCAGTGTTGTTCTGACAAATTTTCATAAACCAAATATATCCATCCTCTTCTACAAGGCTCAAAATAACCAACCAGCAACTATGTTATTTCCCCCGCTCCATATTTCAATAGAAAAATGTGTTACTGTGAGAGATAAGACACTCTGGCCATCTGTTGGGTGGAGAATAGGTTTTCTTACAACCACTACAATTTAGCTGTGTCTGTTTAATGCAAAAGAACATTTCTTAGGAGCAACAACAACAATCACACTGGAACTCTTCACACAATGAATACTCTTTCTTGTGGATCATAAACTATGATTTGTTTTTAAACTATAGTCACAAGATCCTGTAAGCTCCAGATACGCTTAGCATACAAGATTTGGATCCTGTACTGTTTCTGACATTCTCCTCTCTGCTCACAGATCAGTCAATTATAGAGCATTTAAGTGGGATAATTATACAATGAATGTGAAAAAGTCCACACAAGAATGCATTCCAGCCACATTCTAACATTACTTTACCAAACTTTCAATGTTCTTGAACTTCCCATTAAGTCCAGGAATATGGACTCTTCATATAAATAAAAAAGAGACAGGGGAGAGGAAGAGAGACTATATTCCTTTGTAACCTTGAATAGGGCATTCTTCCTTTTTTGGGGGGAGTTTCTGTCACCATAACTACATCCTTTTCATAAAGAAGCTGCTTCTAGCATATGAAAACAGTGACGGCTTGCAAACTTATATATATTTTGGTAAACTTACTTAGGAAATATTTTACACCATAAATCTAAACTTGATCCTTCTTGCTAAGAAAAAGCCAGAATGTGTTTTTGTACCTATTTATGCTCCAATCCTTTGGTAAGAAAAGGAGCTCCGCTGCACATATTACGTTCCCCTACACACAAGCCTGTCCCCATTCAGTGTAATGTTGAGGACAGCTTCCTCAGAGTGGATAGAGCAGCTGTGGACACTGGGGAAGCAGTTGTGAGATCAAGATGATAAACACTTGGAAAGATGTCCTCCAAAACAAGTGGAATTCATTTCTTTAAAAATATGATTAGGAACTGGATGTGAGGAAGAAATTCCTAGAAAATTCCTGGAGAACTACCTATTTTATTTTATTTTTTATCCCGCCCTTCATTTCAGGAACCCAGGATAAAGTCTATCATTCTTCCTCACTTTATCTTCACATAGATTAGTTTGAGAAATAGTGACTGGCCCAAGGTACCTTAGAGAGAGCAATCCTAAGCAGGTCTACTCTGAATTCTACTACGGTCTATTCAATAGGGTTTACTTCCAGGAAACTGTCTTTAGGATTGCACTGTTAGGGAGTTCCATGGCAGAAGCCGGATTAGAATTTGATATTCTCTGGGCCACTCCTAATCCAACACCCTAACCACTACACTACATTGGCTTATGACCCTGGATCAGTCACATTGAAACATGAAGCTGCTGTAAGCGGAATTTGAACACTGGCCCTTCTACCTTAGTATTGTCAGGCATGATAGACCCCCAAATATGCTTTGCTAGCCTGCTACAGGAATGGTCAGATACAGGTATAAATAGCAAAGAAACTCTATTCTTACATAATCACAGAATCATACAGTTGGAAGGGACCGTCAGGGTCATCTATTATATTATATTTATATTTGGTCAGTTTTATATCAGCTTTTTATCAGTTTTATAGGTTTTTACTCAAATGTAGCATCAATACTAGTCAATAAGCAATTTAGAATTTGCATATATTTAAATGTATATATGCAAATGAGCAATTATCTTTTTGCTTGTCTACTAATGCTGGCAGATCTTCTTGCAGTAGGTCACTAATAGCTGTACATCATGTATACGCAAGTTTCAGATCTGAATTAAACTAGTTTGCATTTTTTTCAATATATCATAAGAACATCCCCCCCAACATGCATGCTGCAAACTCCATGGAGAATCCAAAACCCCTTTCGACACAGTTAAAATATGTATTTAAAGTTAGAACTGTAACTTGTCTAAACAGATAAATATTCAGTGGAAATGGTTCATTCAGCAGGTCAGATCATTGCAACATAAATTAATTGGGATGAGCCTGTGAAAATTAGCATCTAGATTCCATATTGACTTGGCACAGAACGAACGTGGAGGTAGAGAAAAAGGGAGATGCGGATTCTAATGAAAGTACTGTCATAGATTAATGAGATAGAATGTTTATTTATAATCTGTTCTAAGGGATGCTTAAAGAT